TTTTTTTTTTTTGCTGAGACTGAAATGTGTATTTTACAAGTAAGAATATAAGCAACATGAAAAGTTTGTCAGCCATTTGGCCGAATATATTTCTAAGATAATCCACAGTCTGTCTCATGAATTTCATCATTAACAATTACAGAGACACACCCCGCTAACACAGTTTTATATTTGAAAATCTGTCTTAAACTAACTTTAAGTAAACTAGAAACAGGAAAAAAGGTGGAGCCGAGGTGGGATACAGAGCAAGCCTTCCCTCAGATCAGCCACGCCCTTATTATACGTAACTCTTATCCTTCATGAAACAAAACGGATAGTTATTTAAAAAATTCACCCCCATACAGTATGTGTTGATAAAGAACTGAGATAAACGTGTTTTGTATCAGACAGTTAACATGGTTATTTCTGCTGTAAAAAAAACTGTCATTTTGAAAGGGTGAGTATGGACTGGAATTTCGAGGAACTGCACATTTCTGCACTTCTGCTGGGTTATGTTTCAACACTGGAGGCTGACGCTTGATGCACATGCAAACTTGTAACCAATGGCTCGAAAATTTGAGTCCAACAGTCATAAAAAGTCTGGTGTTTTGGTTGCAGGGATTTAGAGTAAATGTAATGACATATAGCGGTATGTTGTTTAAGTAGTGCAGTAAGTTTAACATATTTGAGGCATGTTTCACAGGTACTTCTTAATACCACTACAAAGTCAAGCATGAGTGGAGCAGGCAGCACTTTCCCCTGAGCAGGCAGACTCATTCTCTAGAGTTTGTGCAAAAAAGTGTGATTCCATTCTTCTTCTTTTGCAGTAATTACAATGACACCTCGTGCTCAATGTGCTCTTACTTTTTAAGAGCTTTTAAAGCATGTTATTGATTCCAAATGTTTTTTTTTATACTTTGTTGGTTTGAATGTCCCCTGTAATCACCTTTGGCTGGCTGAAATCCCCAAACAGTTTTAGGAGATATGAGAGGCGTAAACAACAGGTGATCCACCTTCCAAACTTCCTTTTTCTCACTGTAGATGTTTTTTCTGTCTGCTTTATCTTTAGTTCCTGTTCTTTCTTTTTCATTTCTTCTTACAAGGGCTTTCTCTGCATTCATCTGCGACACAAGGACTAATGGTTGCACGGTTTTGCACATAAAAGAAAACTAAATAAATGATGGCTGCAGTCGAGGTAAAAAAAAAAATGCATTTAACCCCCACAGGCTTAAATGAAGCATCCATTTCTCTTTGGGATTTTAGCCGTAGCTCTGAGTTGGTTTTAAGGATGTATTAAATCAGCGTTACGGCTAATGTGCCAACGTTTACCACATAGAGTGAAACTCAGAATGAGGACGGGGATGCAGAAAAGCCTCTAGGGGACATCATGGCCTTATGACTGTTTGTTTTACTTACTCGTGTTGTGCTGCTCTGCTGACTGTGGACCAGACGTCTCATTTGTGAAACGCTCACAGGACTCGTTGTAATGGATGCACTGCTGAAGGGCTGCAACAATCTGAAATAAAAAAAAAACATGTTAAAATAATGCAGCTGCAAATACCTGACTGGCTGAATGAGAAGACAACTCCTAAACTTGTGTGCTGAGTTTTGGAAGCTGCCTTGAAGAGACATAAATCGACCTGAGGAGGAGTCATTTAGAAAGCTAATGGCAGCCTCTCTTATCGAACGTCTAAATCAACAGTTTTAACTACCAGAACTGTTCTTTGAATTTAGATCCGAGAACTTAATGAATATTTATGCACGTCAATGCGAGAGTCGTTTATAAAGGCATCGTTTTGGAAGAGTTATTGACGTTTGCGTCAGATAAAGTTCCTCTGTAATCCGAGTAATCAGAGTAAGAGCTGAGAGGGAGCTTCAGGATTAAATAATCAATTCTAAAATGTCAAATTGACACTCAGCTCTTACCTCTCATTGTCTGAAAGACTTCAACAGACATTAAAGGATTGAACAGAAGGCCTCAGTTAAACAAAATCAAGTTTCTGCTTTTATTCTGACCACAGAAAACATCCATGTTCTTTCCCAGGCCGAGTGATGAACGAAGAGAAATACCAGAAAGACTGACTACATGTTTTGTAGTTTTAATGATCTGCAAACAAAACTGACTTTTGTTTTTAGTGACAGGGCAAGACTTTTTCTTCCTTTCTTCCTGGGTTGTTGTTGTTGATTTTTTGGTGCCAGACTCTTCAGGAGTACACAGGAGTAAGTAGGAGATATTGATTGCCGAGTGAATCACTCACCAGGGACTTGTATTTTCTCTCCAGGAGTCTGAGAACTACAGTCCTGCTGTAGTGTCCATGCTGAGAGAGGAAGAGAAAGAACAGTGTGTTTGAGCGAAATACGAACCATTGAGAAAGAGATGAAAACACAGAAAGACACATTTTAATTTAAAGACACACCATCCACTTTTTAAACCAGGTGGCTTTAACATCCAGTAAGGCCAGCAGATGAACGGGCTCCAGGGTTTTCTCTGATCCAGGTGAGGCAGCGCCATGTTCATGAGGGAAGGACAGCAGGGAGAAGGTGCTCTCTATTACCTCCTCCATGTATCTAAAGGCGGGCAGAAAGAAGATCAGGACTAATGTTCTGAATATAAATCAAAAAGAAAGTACAGAACATCTGGACTTAACAAAACCATGATGGGAAAACCATGAAACTCAACGACAGCTTACTGCATATCTTTAAGGTAAACCGGTTTAAGTCTCACACTTTGTCATGATTCCATCAGTGGCATCTAAGGTAATGAGATTTGGATGCGTGGTGAAACAAGAACAGAGTCCTTCCAAATTTGACTCAAGCCTGGATTATCTACCAAGGCGATTGAGCTGGTGCCAGGGGGCCTCAGACATCAATGGGCCTCCTCAATCCCACTAACTGAGGCCTGGCCCTGTATTTGCTTCTCCTTTTCTTTTATTGCTTTTTGTATGAAAACCAAAAAATGGATGTGGGGTTCCTTGATTTGCGAATAAAACAAATACAAATATTATGATTGGTTTGCTGTGTCTGTAGCACGATGAGGAGGATCAGTCCGGTTCGGTGGATTATTTTGATAACTGCGCAGTCAGCACGGTTTTGCAAGTCTGCCAACATTAAATGAATAGACGACAATACCCTCCTGATTGCAAACAAACATGAAAGTGGCTTATGAATGACAGGGACAGCAGAGACATTTTATTTGACTAGTGTACCTCCAGGGTAAGGCTTTGTTCCACGTCTGTGACACATCCAACAATTTCAGATCCTGAAGATGTAGTGAAAGGTCGTACTATTGCTGGAATCATTTCAACATGGCTTCACACAGATCATTCTCACTTCAAATTTCTAAAATCTTGCAGAGGGCTGTGAGTGTCTATGGTAAAAATAGTCTTTGTTGTCTCGATGTTTCCTGAGCTGTGCTGCTCATGCAGACTTTATAGCTGCTCTGTCCCGTTAACATGCCAACCAAAATGAAAAGCAGGAGTTTCTGCGTCCGTCACACGTCGCTCAGGCGTGCAAAACGATTGATGGGTGACTTTAACAAACATGGTTGAAGCCTGCTTTTTTAAATCTACATTTTTTATATCCAGGACTGCTGTAACAACATATTCTTTCACAACTCACTTCTCCGGGTGGCGGATCCAAAAGGTGGTCACCTCCTTTTGAAAGTCATTCATCAATCGAATCTGAGGGCAAGGCAGACAACAGTGGGAAAGAGATCGCTTTAATATGTTGATATGTTGATACACTGAAAATACAGAACAATTAAAGATGTGATACCTGTTTGAGCAGACGACTGATCTCAGGTCTGTTGATGTCGATGACAGCTGAGCCGGATGGGAAGCTCAGATTGTGTGAGAGAAAACTTGATTCCACACTTTTAGCTGCAAATCAAAAGAGACATTTTTAATTAGAAACAATGCTTTACATTGTATTGAAGGTAATATTAGTAATCAAATATGAAGCAGCAAACACAATACCTAAATCATGCCCATTAACATAACTATTAAACAATATAGTCCCAATAAAACTGTCCTCATTAAGGTCTTGAGATATTTGTTAAGAAATAAAACCTTCACTGTGATGAGGTGAGAGTAAAAATAAAACCATAACTCTGCATGGATACATGTGGCAGATGAGCAGTGAGCGGGGAAATGTTTTCCCTTCATCTGTAATATTTCGAAAAGAGGAGCTGTCGGTTTCTGTCATTGAAGCTCATGTGTACAAGCATCTTATGTAAAATTTCAATAAAAAAGTTGATCACAAAAAAAAAAAGAGGAGCTGTCTCTTCAAAATGTATCCTCCATGAAATAAAAATGTACTTCTACTTTGTTGGGTTCAAACAGGACAGGGATGCCCACACAGTCAGTTCTCTCAGAGCGGCCTACCCAGGCTGGTGTAGATCTCTCGTGTCACGTTCAGCGGAGAGGAGGAGAAGCTTTTAGCGAAGAACTGCAGAACATGATCCTGATGAATTAGAGGAGGAGAGATACGAGTTATCAGCATATACGCACACACATGCAGAAGCCATCAGTGATATGTAAATGTTAAATAAAAATACAAGATGAGTTCAAACAGGATTATCACATAAAAGAGTTGTGGCCCTATTGAGGAGAGAGTGGCTTCCAATCATCTTTCAATCATTCATCAGTGTTATCTTGTGTTTTCCTTTTAATTACACAGGCCGGGCGGGATTCCACCAAGTGTTTTGTGTTCCTCATAATCAATTACAAAGTCTGAAATTACCCATGAAGATGACAAGATGGACTATTGATTCACTCGTAAATGAATGAAATGTGAATCTGTAGGAGACTGATTGCTGCACTCCTGATGAGGTAGAGGAGGTAGCTCAGGACTCACGCTGAGGTCGGGGTCGCTCAGAGCGTCACAGAGGTTCCTGCGCAGGCTGCTCCAGCTCTCGCAGCTCAGCACATCGGAGGGAGGAGCGCAGCAGAGGGCCTGAAGAGCCTCCCAACGCACCTACACACAGAGTTACAACACGTCACCTCGCCTGGTCAATCGTACTAACATGCAGGGCAGTGAGTGCCAAACTTCAGCAAAGCCATGTGTACTCCTCATCACCAGCTGTTTATGCCACATTAGCCTGGTTCCAGTTTTTCAGTGATTTCAGATTAATTGTGATTTCAGATTAATTGTAATTAAAAACAGAAAGAAGTGATTATTGTTGTTTCTTGAAGTAAAAACCCCAAAGTGACTTCCTCAAATTGCTTCACACAGTCTACAACTTAAGACTCTTCATTCAAATGTGACAAAAGAAAGCAGAAAATGTTTATATGAAACGATCTGCAGAGCATCTTTGTTTGTTTTTATGTCAACACCTGCATTATTATCTTCAGGGTCCAGGCACCAGCTTTGAAAGCAACCAATGAACTGCACATATCAGCATATGACTTTCCAGTTTACTGAGAGAAAAAAACTATGCAGCAGCAGTGTTCACCATCATCATAATGTTGGAGTGTAAAAGTGTAAAGGTGAGTCTTTGTACCTCTCTGGGTCTGCTGGAGTCAAGTTTCTCAGCCAACACTTGCAGCTGCTCTTGTCTGATGAAGGGATAACTCTGGGGAGGAAAATGGAGATTCAAATTCTGAAAATATATACTGGTAGTCTAATGGTTAGTGTGACCACCCCAGAGGAGGGGGTGTCCTCCATAAGTGGGTGGCCCGGGTTCTAATCCGACCTGTGGCTCATTTCTTGATGTCACTCTCTCGCTCCCCGATTTCTGACTCTATCAACGGTCTTATCCCTCAAATAAAGGCACAAAAAGCCCAAACAAAACCCTTTAAAATACTGTATATATATTGTTTATGATACTTAAACCAATATTTTAATAGTCATAGTCTGACAGCACCATGCTGCTGGTGGATCCAGTCTAGTCTTTGACCTACATTTAGTAGTACCTTCTATGGGGTATTTAAGCGATACCATCCTTGCATGAGTCATCAACAAGCATATAAAAAGATATTAAAGGCATTACATTTTAACCCTTTATTTCTTTGACAGTGTGTGTGTGTTGTTGTCTCTGACCTGGTTGAAGGAGGAGTCGCTGTCAGAGCAGTTGTCGGTGTACTGGCTGTTGGACTGACTGTGCTGCTTCTCTCGGTGCATCTCCTCCTTCCTCATCTGGCCCTCCTCAAATTTGTTGATTAAAGACTCCACCGCCGTGATCATGGAGTTTTTCAAAGTCTCGGTCATCTGCTGGTACCTATCACGAGAAGCACGAAGGCCATTAGACATGTTTGAGTGTTTCTAAAGCGTTTAGCTAAACCCTTTCCAGAGACATTGTCGATTTTCTTTCTTTACTGCTTTGACTGTTTAAATTATATGATTCAGCAAAACTCTAATTCACCTGTTCAACAAAAACTAAATATAAGAACCCATTAAGTCTGCATGTAATTTCGACTGGGGCAGTTTTCAAATTCAGAATAACAGGATAGAATTACCTTTAAATGCTCACCAGATTTACCACCCTCCACCCCCAAAAAACAGCATCTGTTGCCCCGGAAACAGCTGAAGTTGTTGGAAAGATAAAAGATATGACCACGCTGCTTATTATAGAATAAAAAGGTAGTGTGGGTAAAGCTTTCTAAACTTAGGGTTAGAAATACTGCACATTATTAGACCTAGAAATCTGACTTCAAATGAGTCTAATTGTGTGTATTTTATGTATTTCCTAAGAGGTATGGTCACATTTCTGACATATTTGAAAAGCGAATGAGCAGGTAAAGAAGAATTTAACCAAACTTATCCATTGAAACTCGTCTCGTCTATCCCCTCATGCTCTCTCTTTTTGTATGAGGTATTATTTTATTTAAATACCAGTGTTTTTCGCATTGAATTGTGAATTTTATCCTTGAATATTATTTGTATTTGTTACATTTTGTGTCAGTGTCAAGGCCCTACGAAATGTTGTCTTTAAAGGTGTCTGAATCATCCAATAAGAGATGTTGAGGCCAGACATAAAAACCCCTGTTGTTGTCCTTATCCTGAATATAAAAAGGAATGCCAAATATGGACGCTTACTTACAACATGATTTATACAGAGGGACAGGCCTTGTGTGATTTTAACTGAGCTACACTCACTCAGCCGAGTCTCTGGTCCTCCGGGTGATGGCATGGATCAGCGTATCATGACTTGAGCCTATTGCAGGTTGTCCATCTCCTTTGGTCAAGCTCTTAGTCTCTTCTTCTATCACAGTCCCAAGAGAGCTCTCCATGTACTGACGGAGGTACTTCACAAACTCATAACTGGAAAGAGAAGAGAGACAGAAACTATTACTCCGATTGTAGTATATGTCTGTACATGTTTGATACCAACAACATGACAATCACAAGGACATTAGTAAAAAAGTAAAAAGTACAGGGCATACTGCTACAACGAATGAGTGTCATGCTCTTACTTATGGAAGTTCTTGTCGGTCTCCTCCAGGTGAAGCAGGATGTCTTCAGCACATTCGGTTGACGGAGCGTTGGAGATCCTGTCGTTGATGCTTCTCAGAAGCTGCTTGAGCAGGGATTGTAACTCCACCTCATCTTCAGCTGACAACTGAGACATCTCTGCAGTGGGTCCTTAAGGTGGGACGTAAAAGAGTGAGCGGTATTCAAGGCTTAAAATGTGCAAATGTGTGGTGTTGGTGAGGGGCCAGTTCCCTGTGATGCTATCGGGGTCTTTGGTCATTGAGAAAGATGTCTATTTCACCTTTTTTTGTTTTTCCTTACAGCTGTAAAACAATGAACTACTTTGCAAGTTGATACACTGAATTGAGAAACTTGTATAGAAAACGTCTGGATCAATAAGGAGGAACTGTGAAATGATAAAAGCTGACATATTCATGAAATGATTCCACACTAACAGGATCAATAAGGAAGTTTTTCTTTGGAGTACACTGCTTCAGCACAATCACGTCACTGAATCTGATGTTGAAGTGAACTCAACAAGACGTCAGAGATCTTTGGTTGCTCTTGAAGCCGACAGATTTCAAAACATCCCAGAGGAAACACAGAATGTGCGAATGATGTCATTTAGGAGAAGTCGAGTATAAATCTAATTTCTTATGATGAGTGAAGAACACCTTTGATGAATGAAATCCTGTTTGTTTTGGAGCTACTACTGCACACAGTTCTGTTTACATCTGATCACTACTGCACATAGCTCTGTTTACATCTGATCACTACTGCACATAGCTCTGTTTACATCTGATCACTACTGCACATAGCTCTGTTTACATCTGATCACTACTGCACATAGCTCTGTTTACATCTGATCACTACTGCACATAGCTCTGTTTACATCTGATCACTACTGCACATAGCTCTGTTTACATCTGATCACTACTACACATAGTTCTGTTTACATCTGATCACTACTGCACATAGCTCTGTTTACATCTGATCACTACTGCACATAGCTCTGTTTACATCTGATCACTACTGCACATAGCTCTGTTTACATCTGATCACTACTGCACATAGCTCTGTTTACATCTGATCACTACTGCACATAGCTCTGTTTACATCTGATCACTACTACACATAGTTCTGTTTACATCTGATCACTACTGCACATAGTTCTATTTACATCTGATCACTACTGCACACAGTTCTGTTTACATCTGATCACTACTGCACACAGTTCTGTTTACATCTGATCACTACTACACATAGTTCTGTTTACATCTGATCACTACTGCACATAGTTCTATTTACATCTGATCACTACTGCACACAGTTCTGTTTACATCTGATCACTACTGCACATAGCTCTGTTTACATCTGATCACTACTGCACATAGCTCTGTTTACATCTGATCACTACTACACATAGTTCTGTTTACATCTGATCACTACTGCACATAGTTCTATTTACATCTGATCACTACTGCACACAGTTCTGTTTACATCTGATCACTACTGCACATAGCTCTGTTTACATCTGATCACTACTGCACATAGTTCTGTTTACATCTGATCACTACTGCACATAGTTCTGTTTACATCTGATCACTACTGCACATAGTTCTGTTTACATCTGATCACTACTGCACATAGTTCTATTTACATCTGATCACTACTGCACATAGCTCTGTTTACATCTGATCACTACTGCACATAGCTCTGTTTACATCTGATCACTACTGCACATAGTTCTGTTTACATCTGATCACTACTGCACATAGTTCTGTTTACATCTGATCACTACTGCACATAGTTCTGTTTACATCTGGTCACTACTGCACATAGCTCTGTTTACATCTGGTCACTACTGCACACAGTTCTGTTTACATCTGGTCACTACTGCACATAGTTCTGTTTACATCTGACCACTACTGCACACAGGTCTGTTTACATCTGGTCACTACTGCACACAGTTCTGTTTACATCTGATCACTACTGCACATAGTTCTGTTTACATCTGATCACTACTGCACACAGTTCTGTTTACATCTGATCACTACTGCACACAGTTCTGTTTACATCTGGTCACTACTGCATACAGTTCTGTTTACATCTGATCACTACTGCACACAGTTCTGTTTACATCTGATCACTACTGCACACAGGTCTGTTTACATCTGGTTACTACTGCACACAGGTCTGTTTACATCTGGTCACTACTACACATAGTTCTATTTACATCTGTTTACATCTGTTAGTCCGATCACTGTCCACTTATAGCTACTCTTTTATATTTTGTATTTTTAAGTTTAAGCTGTAAGTTGTATTTAAATTGACACTTTCTATTTAGGTTAAAATGTTTTGTTTACTTGCTCTGTGTGCCTTTGAATAAAGTTTTTTGAATTGAATTGAATTAAAAGCCAGGGACAGGGGTTGCAAATTAACAACAACTTGAAACCTGTATGCATGACATCCACTTTGTACCTAACGTATGAAGCAATGTCCACTGCTTATAACGAATGCAATAAAAAACTACATGACTCTCCCATGGTGAAAATAAAGTGCTTTATAAGTAATTTCACAATGTAAACAAACGTGTCAACACAACAAATAAGACTTTTATCAGCTACAATTGATGGGGCCCTGCTGTACACCAAAAACTGAATATCTATTATGTAAACTTTTACCTGGAAGACAAAACCCGTGACTACATCTCAGGTGAGCTTCAGGATGTCTAAATGCATCATTGTAGCACAACTAGCTAACTGTCCAACTTCACTTCAAAAACCAGGTTGAGTAAAATAAACACAACAAAAAGAACCTAAACAATTAGACACAAAAACATCGTCTGCAAAACATTTTAAAGCAGTCACCTTGTTTGTGTACTCAGGTGTAGGTAGGTGGTCGCAGAAGCTGTTGTGTTTTTAATCCAGGCTGCATTTTGACAACACTAGCAAAGCGCTGTTTCGTATCTATGGAAACGTCCTCTTCGAGTTGACCGCGGTGCATTATGGGAACGATGGAATCTAAACGATGCCTTCTGGAGCGTCGGGAATATTGAGCTCGAAACCATTTTCAAGGGGTTCACGTTACCGCTGGCGCATGAAATACAATAAACAAAAAAAACAGAAAACAAACAGAGGATAAGAAATCTACTTAAAAGTTAGGGGAACCTCTACATACACAGAATAACCTCTGTGAAGTCGTCTGCATATTTCATGTATATGTTATCATTATGTCTGTTTTATTCGACTTTATTTTTGAAAGCTTAGTCTTGGATTAATTTATTAAGATAAAAAGATAAAAGGGGTACGACTGGATAAGTTGTTTAACTTCATCCTACATCCTTTTTCGAACATGGACTGGTTAAGGAAAAATAATCGAGCCACTACAGAAAGTATTGCTGTTTGTTTTGTTTGTGATGTATATTTTTATTTTATTTTAAAAACATGTTCGAAATAAATAAAAAGAAATGAAATTATTATCATATACTGATTTAATATAGTGATCAGCAACCAAGGGAGCTATCAAATGGAAGTTACTGCCTTTTGCCTTGGCACGACACCTCATTATTGTACAGGCAGAGTACCTTAACTTCCAAATAAGGGTCAAAGGTCATGTTTGACCTCAAGATTTTTATGTACATTAACAATCTGATTAAAAAGACAAAGAATTGCCACATTTCCAATATTCTGCCTGCAACTCATTTGGAGTTAAGGTCTTTTGCCTTTGTAGGACAGTCGTGTGAAGTACGTTTTCGTGTCTGATTTTCCCATGCGGCCGTGAATGCAGCATCTCATCATGTGATTCAATGTTTTGCTCCGTCTGCCGGATGTTGCACAGAGGACATCTGAAGCTACTTGAACGTCTTTAAAACCTGATGATTTTATGCTAAATTAACTTCATAAGAAGGGAGATATGTTGTGTTAACGCGCCTTACTGTAAGTAAACGTTACATTTAGATATTAAAACGTAAAAACGTCAGCATCAGCATCAGTGGAGCATGGCGGCTGTTGACAGCTTTCAGTTTCTGTACAGAGAAGTTTCTCGGTCATGCAGCTTTTACTTTGACACCCTGGCCTTGGTCGGGGCTCTTTACACAGCCAGCAAGGTGATCGTCCTGCTGAGAGACTGCTGCGTGCTGGTTAGGGTGCATTTCCTCCCGAGAATGATCCCCACCAAGAAGCTGACCCAGAGATATGGAGACTGGGCTGTTGTTTATGGTAAGAAAAGAGGAGGCTGCTGCATCATCATCATCATCATCATCATCATCATCATCATCATCATCATCAACCTTTATTTAAGTTCTAAATGAGAGATCATTGAGGGTGACCTTTATTTACAATGATGCAGAGAAAACATGCAGAAATGATAAACAACGAGGAATGAGATAAAGCTACTCCAGAAAATAAAATCAATAAAAGAGCAATAAGAACAATAAAATATATACACTGAAATAATTTAAAAGCTTGGAATTACTACAGTGAGAAGTCAGTAATTAAAATAAAATAAAATAAAATAAAATTTAAAAGCTTGAAATTACTACATTGATAAGTCAGTAATTAAAATAAAATAAAATAAAATAAAATGTGAAAGCTTGAAATTACTACAGTGATAAGTCAGTAATTAAAATTAAATTAAATTAAATTAAATTAAATTACATTTAAAAGCTTGAAATTACTACAGTGATAAGTCAGTAATTAAAATTAAATTAAATTAAATTAAATTAAATTAAATTTAAAAGCTTGAAATTACTACAGTGATAAGTCAGTAATTAAAATAAAATAAGATAAAATAAAATTTAAAAGCTTGAAATTACTACAGTGATAAGTCAGTAATTAAAATAAAATAAGATAAAATAAAATTTAAATGCTTGAAATTACTACAGTGATAAGTCAGTAATTAAAATAAAATAAAATGTAAAAGCTTGAAATTACTACAGTGATAAGTCAGTAATTAAAATAAAATAAAACAGTTACAGTCAGGTATTGGGTGGTTAAAAATAATATTTCTAAAGTGTCCATAAGAGATAAAAGTGCTCAAGTTCAGGTCCTGTTGTAAAATGTTCCAGGAGTTTGCAGCACTAACACTAAAAGTAGTTTTCTCCAGGTTAGTCCTGGCATGAGGAACCTGGAGAACCAGCCTCTCACTCGAGCGGGTTAAAGATGGACCAGGGTTCAGATTTAATAATGAGGTGATATATGATGGAAGCTTTCCAGTAAGGGCTTTATAGATTAAAAAAAAAAAAAGATGCCAGTGGTTATTGTGTCTCTCAGTGAGGGAAGGCCAACCAACTTTATTATGAAGAATGCAGTGGTGAGTCATGTAACTACCACCGGTGATGAATGTAATCGCAGAATGGTAAACAGCATCTAAGGGCTTTAGCGTAGTGGAAGAGGCATGCCTATAGACCACATCACCATGATCCAAAACTGAAAGAAAAACTGCTTCAATTATCCTTTTCCGACAGAACTTAGGGAAATTTAGTTTGACAGTAAGATTATCAATGTGAAGTTTGAATGTTAGTCTGTCATCTATCCATATACCGAGATATTTATTAGGCTTTAACTCTCTCGATAATGGATCCTAGCAGGGTGGTAATATCAATGCATCATGTTGACGATCTGTGTGTTATAAAGAGGGGAGGACAGTCAGGTCATGGCCATTTTTTCCTTGTAAATTTGAGCCTTTTGTTATTATTATTAATAATTTGATTAATCTGTAAATCACAACGATATTTGTCGGACGCCTATTGCAAATCCAAAATGTGTCCAATGAGCGAGAGTGAGTAAAAAAGAGACGAGATAATCAAATATAAACTTTACAGATTGATGATAGGATGACATCTAAGTACAATAGATCCCATTATATCATTACACGCTCACTTCCTGTCCACACAAACACTCACTCACTTGCCAAGTACACTTAATCGCTTAAGCTGATCAGAGTTTCTATCCTTTAGTTTTCTCGTTATTGTTTCTCTGGGTCGCCTTGTCGTGGCTCACCGTGTCTTCTTGTTCATCTTAGTCGATTATCATGAAAACGTCACACATTACTCACGTGATTCAGCAAGAACATGTCGATTTTCAGTGTTGATAAATCTGTATATCATTTGATTCATTGATTATCTATCTGATGTGACAACCATCGGGAATCTGTGGAAATCATCAGGGTTAAAATGTTCAAATTAAATGTTAATGAGAAACAGAGAGGCGTTTTTTTTCATATTGCACCATTCAGACAAAAGGTCATTCAAATTGCATAACAGGGGCAAAGAAATACAAAATATTGGACATTAAGAAAACAAACAAGTGAATTCAAAAGTTGACAAAACAAGAGCAAGCGATGACTAGCTATCGATATCATCATTTCTTCTTGACTTGCGTTGTTGACTTCTGTCCTCTCTCCTTCCTGTCAGGTGCATCAGAGCCTGTAGCCACAGCGTATGCAGAGGAGCTGGCCCGGCACGGTATCAGCATCATCTTTGTCACTCGGGACCACACCTCGGTCAGAGACACTGCTGCGTCCCTCTCCCAAAGCTACGGAGTGGAAACCGTCGTCATCCTGGCCGACTTCTCTCTGGATCAGGCGGCCAGCAAGTCCATCACCGAAGCCATGCAGGGGAAAGATATCGGCTTCCTGGTGAACTGCCTGGACGAGTCTCTGGCTCTCCCGCAGAGCCTGACTGAAATACCGGAGAAGGGCCTGTTGGACTTGGTGAATAAGAACATCGCAGTAGCTACTCTGATGACTCGGTTGGTGCTGCCGGGGATGTTGGAGCGAAGCAGAGGAGCTGTGGTCAATATATCATCGGGTTCTTGCTGCAGACCCTTCCCCGGAACAGTGGCACTCACCGCCTCCACTGTGAGACACTCAGATCTGCCTCTTGTTCATGCACACACCTGAATGACAACCTATAGATCCTTTCACTGCAATAATGTTGATTTCTCAGAGTGAATCAAGAAAAATACAAGCATCATTTGAGAGTAATGTTTCAACATACAAACAGGCAAAACACATCCCTCTTTCAAGCGGTCCAACGTGTAAAAATGTCATCAAAAACACGTATTTGAATCCTAACAATGAGCTTCTCTTTCCTCTCCTGACATTCCAGGGCTACATGGATCATTTCTCAAGAGCGCTTCACTTCGAGTACAGCAGCAGAGGGATCTTCGTACAGAGCCTAATGCCTTTCCAGGTAGATGTCATGGTAGATATCACGAGCTACTGAATCAAATCTGAGTAGCTCCTTAAACAACATCTGTTAGAGTCACTATAACATTGAATTAACTCGTCTCCTTAAGCTCCTGTGAGGATGTTTTAACTGGTTTTAAAACAGACTGGAGTTAGTGCTGACGCCTCTTTATAACCTACAAAAGCAAACAAGACCTTCAGCCACAAGATTCTTTATTAATATTAGATATTTTAAACGCAGGGTAGATGTCAGACAGGCTGAGTAACAGCACGCTCAAACAGCCTTGTTGATATATGTCAAGTGTTTAATATCCACTGCCTTGTCCACAGGGGGGCGCCAAAATCAACACAACCCAAAGTCTCCTCACAAGAGCTTTAAAGAGTAAAAAAGAAATGATAACATGCTAATATTTATCGTGAGACTGTTTTATTAGAATGTAATTTTTCCAGCTGAGTGAAGTTAATAAAACTTAAACAGTGTGTATGTAAGTAAAAACACTTAAATGGAGCTGTGAAAATATAGAATATAGACTATTATAACTCAGGTAAGATTATTAGCCACCTCATTCTCTAAAGCTGACTATCTGATGTCTCTCGACCCTGACTCCATTCTTGTGTCTCAAATTGCTACTCGGACTGTAAACAAACAAAAACGCAACGCACTCGTATGTGCTTTCAATGTGGCCTCTGTGATTATTCTTCTCCCTTCTCGCCCCGGTGTTGTCTTTATTGCATGAACTGCTATGATTGTGCTTTGTTTGTGCCTGCTCCAAATTGTGTGTGACGTGTTGTATGTCTCTTTTTCCTTTTGCTTAGGGCTGTTGTAATTATAAATGTAATGTATTTTATTGTATTTTGAATCTTAACAATTTGCATTTTAGGTTGCCTACTGACAACTGGCCGGGGGACTACAGCTGGAAATTAGCCGTAAAAGCTAAAGCTGCTTCTTTTTACTGTACAGTTAATTAAAGGGGACTGTCACCGAAACAGTAAACAAATAAACTAAAACCAAACAAAAAAAAAAATGAAGTCTTGACCAGAAGTCGCCCCTTCGCTGCATTGGAAGAAAAGTTGCCCTCGGCTCCTGGAGGCAACTGTTGTTGTAGACAATGGGTCCTGAAATAGCATGAATTTTCTGATGCACATAAAATAAGATGCGCTTTTTAATCAAATGATGTTTTTATAAGCTCACATATTTAAAAAATAGCTGTTTAATTAATTGTTCAGAGGTTGATATTTACTGTTTATTTATGTGTGTTTAACCAGATTGCCAAGAGTGAGTTAGAGCCATCATCATCAACAACAACAACAACATCGTCAACACACAGCTGGTTTGTTCCAAAGCCGGACGTTTATGCTCGCCACGCCGTCTCCACCCTGGGCGTCTCCAATCGGACCACGGGCTACTGGCCTCATACACTCCAGGTGAAGATAAAAACCAGTCAGGATATGAATAAACTCTCAGAAAGTTTGACACAAGAGAATCTCACAGATTCATTTTTTTCCAGGCTTTGTGATCTAAAAACATGTCAGCACGTTGATCTCTCTCTCTCTCTCTCTCTCTCTCTCTGCCGTCCGTCTCCACAGCTCGGACTCATGAGGTGTATCCCAGAGGGGATTTGGGTCCTCGGATCTCGTGTGTTCATCAATCTAAGCTAAGAGCTCATCCCTCCTCCCCTCAGCGTACACTAAATGGATCTTCTTGTTACTGCAGAATGTGTCGTTCTCCATTGTTCAACTCACTGGCTCTGTTAAGGTCCGTAGTTAATATAAAAAAACATTAAACAAAGACAGAAGGCATTAAGACTAAGTCGTCACGCCAGAAGCTGCTCCAAATTAAAATGTATGGAATTTATCACCACATGTGACGTTTCAGGCCCCTAACCCTGCATCAGTCATGTCTAAAGTTCATAGTTAAATCAGTGTCTTCTACTGATTTTGAGAAACCTGCTGCAGAATCCATCTGAAATAATAAATACATTTACGTTTAATATACACATATATCATACAACTGGACTATGATCTGACAGTTTAACAACCTGTTGTTGATAAATGTCTTGAAGAGAGAACAGAAAGGCTGGGCGTGGCTTTGGGCGAGGTTTGTCCCCGTTATCGTCATCATTAAGAGCATGAGAGGCCTCGAACAGTAAAACTTCAACCCTTTGAAGTCTTGGATAAGATCCATGATAAAGACCTGGGGTATTAATACTCATGAGATTGTATCATCTTTAAAGAAAGAACTGAATGTCAAATTAGTTAATGTTTCTATAGAGATAAAAAATAAATACGTGCAGATTTAAATCCTTCAGCTTGTGTCAGCTTAAAAGTGACCTAAGAAAATAAATATAAGAAACAATAACAAAGAAACTACGTCACTAAAATGATTTAATAAGGAATTCAATAAATAAACAGATGAGTACGATTTTAGGTTGTGATTTCTGACAGTCAGTTCAGTCATTTCTGCTTGAATCTTTGTTTTTGCATCGTTCTTATTTATGTTTGATTCGTTCCTTCTTTCTGGTTGAATCTGCTTTTGACGAGCACTCAGCACAGCTTTATGACACCCGTACAGAAAACCAACAGCACCTGTCCCAAACACAAACTCAACATCTTTAAAAGTAAAAGAGAGATACGTTTAGTGTGATATTCAAAACTCAATACTATTTAAAGGTTCAATATGTCGAATTTTATGACAATGTTTACATTACAATATCTAAATGAATGAAAAATGGACTAAACCTGTTATATTCATTTTTTTGTCCAGTTCTTACATTACCTCAAATATTTCCAACAGTTATCAAAGCCAGAGAAATCCTTCATTTGATATTTGTAACGGGACGTGTGTTGTTGGGCAGCCGCCTTGACAGACACGACATGTTTATCGTTGCCTTGGAAACAACTCAATACTATTTTAGTGATTTAAAAAAGATGATGAAGATGATTAAAAAATGATGCGACAGTAAAAATAAGTGTAAAAGGGGGGGGGGGGCGTTGGTCATCTAGTGTTTAGTGTGTTCGCCCCCATGTGCAGAGGCTAAAGTCCTCAATAGCGGGCGTCCCGGGTTTGATTCCAGCCTGACAGTGTGGCTCCTTTCCCGCATCCCGTTCCCCACCCTCTCTCTCTCTCTCTCTCCCCCGGTGTCTGACTCTATCCACTGTCCCATCTCTAAAATAAAGGCCTAAGAAGCCCAAAAATAAATCTTTATAAACAAGAAATAATTGTAAAGTGTAATTCAAGAGTAATTTCTGTGTTGATTTATGGATAACAACAGGTTAATTCATCGTTCAAATCTCTTCCCATCCATAGCTGTTTTCTCATTTGGATGGTTCTAGTGTGATCAGAGGCAGAGGTCAGATAAACCAGCATGCGCTTGTAGATTATTGAGCTTCTCTTAAAAAGAAAAAGGTTTACAGAAGATGAGTGTGTGGTGGTGGTGGTGAGGAATGAAAGGACTCGGTGGATGATGTGGTATTATTGCTCAGGGTTCAAGTGTCAAGCATATCCAGGAGTGACTTTGAAATGCACTAAAGAGTGAGAGTGTGGATATTTTGTTTTGTTCAGAGAAAAAGTTTGACTTGAAGTTTGGTTTATGTGCAGATAATTTTTTTTAAATGGAGTGTATTCAGATATGTAAGAACAGTACAGTGTATTAAATAATGACCTAAACATGTATCATAACAGCACAAAATGAGACTAATAAACAATGTCTCCATCCCCTGCTGTCCTGTCTTCTATTATTAAATGTAAAGTGTTTATTGATATATAGCTGTTATCACATACGTCAAAGTGTCTTTGATGGTCGGCCTCTTATCTGACCGGTTTGCAGCCTATAGTGTGCGTGCATGAGATGTTGACTGATCCACAGGCTGAAGGACACAACCCTCTGTTTTTTCTCCTAAAACATCAGGTTAGTGTAAATCATTAACATCCAATGCACAGACACTGGCTAACAGCCAGAGTTTACCCTGTGACCCCTCAGATCAACTGGGTTCAGAGAGCGTTTGTAATCGGTGAGCACATGTGAGCTGAAGTCTGTTGAGGGCAAACCAGACCTGCTTTGTGAGGAATAAAACCTTAAAAACTCTTAACTCTGTGAGAAAATGCCCAAAGTCATCAGAATGAAAGGACATACACCTGGTAATAGACATTTATAAAGCTGCTTTCATACTAATGTGTCAAGTGCTTTATAAATAAACATTTCTTTAAGAGAATGAGAAGGTAACACAATTGGCAAATTTCAAAACATGAGCGTAGTAAAATTTGACAGTGGTTCTCAACTGGTGGGTCGGGACCAGAGGTGGTCCAAACCATTTTCAGTGGGTCGTGAATGTGTGCCTGGAAAATGTGTTTGTGTTGTTCAGTTTTTTGCTTCTGTCACATTTTTTTTGTAACGACTGCAGGTCCAAACTTCACCGTTTCACAGTAAATAAATCTGATTGGTCGTGAAAATTATTCAATATTT